GTTAACTAAATTTTCTATCTTTGCAATTTTCACAAGATTTACTATATTCATTGAGGGCCAACAACAAGTGCCTAATTGTTTGTTTTTCATGGGGGACTCGTTGACCGATAATGGCAACAACAATAATCTTATTACATTGGCCAAAGCTAACTACTTACCTTACGGGATTGATTTCTCCGGCGGCCCCTCCGGCAGGTTCAGCAATGGTCGGATTATACCGGATTTCTTAGGTTATTCCGGCCACTCAAACTCTCTTAATTATTTTATTCAATTATAACTTATGAATGGTTTTAATTTGCCCAACTTTTGCACCTTTTGGCATGTTGTGGTTAGTGCTATTAAATTAAATAAGTTTGGCTCGACTCAGACTTTTTAAGGCTTGAGCTCGCGAGCTGAGCTCAAGCACATGTAAAGCTCGTTTAGTTAACTAGCCGAACAGGCTCGAAAAGAGAAGTTTTATACAATTTTATATAGTCGGATTTGTTAAAACTCGAGATAGTTTAGATCGACTCGTTAAGATTGGGTTAATAGCGATAAAAGAGCTGAACTCGAACTTGATTTCTGGATCGTTTATTTAACGAGCCGAGTCGAGCTTGAGCACTGACTCGGCTCGTTTACAGACCTAGTTGTGCTCGATTTTTAATAGTCAGTAGACATTTTTATGCAAACGGAGGGCAAAATTAGCATTGCACACCCTAAATTATATTAAATATATTTTGTAATTTTTTTCTTCTTTTTTCAATTATATAAATTGGATATAATTTAATTAGTGTTGGAAAATAAATCCATGCATGCAGCTGAATTTCTTGGTTTTGACAAAGCTCCTCCGCCATTTTCAATTGCAAATGGTCCTCAGATTCTCAAAGGGGTAAATTATGCATCGGGAGCTTCTGGAATTCTTGACGATACTGCAATAATAGTGGTAACTAAGTTATTAATTAAATCAACTAGTCAAAACAGTTTATATAAATCGCTATCAACTATCCGTTAACGTCGATGTCAAATAAAATGTTAGATCTATCTAATAACGGTCTTACTATTTTTTTTTAATCATTTTTTTGGCATGTTTTTGATAGGGCGATCGTATCAGCTTGAATAGGCAGCTTTTCAATCACGGACTCACGGTTTCTAAAATCACACTTTTAGTTGGAAACGCGACTTTAGCAAGAGAACATCTTAAAACGTGCTTGTACTTTGTTAATATGGGAAGTAACGATTACCTACTCAACTACTTACAACCACGGATCTCGCTAAGTAGCACTTTTTACACACCACAACAATTTGCGGAAAAGTTGATCAATCAATACTCTAAACAACTCAGAGTTAGTAAAATTAACTTTCCTTATTGTAGTGTACTTTTTTTCTAAAAAAAAAAATTACATTTCAAAATAATATGATATTTTTTTTGGCAATTAATGAATTTTTATCCAAATTTTAAAATTTTATTTTTAAGAAGCAGTATCATTTTTTTTTTTTTTTACATACCACATCTGTATGAGACCATTTCAAAAGAATATCCTTTTTATATTTATTTTTTTTATTAATTTATTTATTTATTTATTGTGGCCAAACCATATATATTGACACAAAATATTGATTTTGTCCTTCTTGTGATTTTTGAACTAGGAATTGTACAACTATGGAGCCAGAAAAGTAGTTGTTTTTGGGCTGGGCTTGCTAGGCTGTACACCTGGAATGTTGGCTAGAAGCCCAAATGTTAATGGGTCATCTTGCATATACTCTAACATTTCAAAAGTTGTAGAGCCCTTCAATAATGGATTGAAACCACTTGTGGACACACTCAACAACAACTTACAAGAGGCCCAGTTTATATTCATAAACACCACAAGCATTTCACTTGTGGACACATCAACCCTAGGTAAGCTAATGATTCAATTTTAAATTTCAATTAGACTTAATCGTTATACACTAATACTTTTCAAATGTAATACCTTAGAAAATAAAATCATGGTATTTCACGATATAAGTACATATATTTTTCAAAAAGTATGATGGGTCAACCCGATTATTGTGTAATCCGTAAATTATATTTTCAGGTATAAAAGTTACGACCGAGCCATGTTGTGTGGTATCAGAAACCGATGTATTATGTGCACCCGACAAAATTCCGTGTAGTAATAGAAACGAGTACACATTTTGGGACAATTACCATCCATCCGAAGTTTACACTCGGGCGGCGATTGCTAGGGCATATGAGGCGGCCTCACTGAACGATGTCTACCCGTTTGATATTCGTCGTTTAGCTCAACTATAATACGTACAGATTGCAGAAGGAAAACCTGACTTTTCAAATTCTATCTTCTTTAAATTGTGTTGTATGGAAAATAACATATGGTAGAATATCGGCGACGAAATGTTGAACGATTTTATCGGATTCAAGTGATTCAACACCAATTTCTCACTAGAAAAACTTCCAAAGAAGCACACGACACATAAGTTGACCGTTATCAGAGACTAAGTTACGTGACTCATGTCGTTTTAACACTGATACCAACTTAATATACGCATGAAAGAACAAAAAACGACACGCATATATGAAACAATATTTCGAGAAAGTATGAGATTAACCGATACAATAGGCTAAGGTTATCTTAGACCAGTTCATATATAGTTAAGGTACTCATGTTTCAACACATTACAGTAACAAAAGACTCACAAAGATAACATATATAAAATACAACATATAAGGCGGTTTGCTCCGGACAATCATCCTCTTTGGCATTCAGTACCTTCCCTCTCGACTCTGAGCTTTCTTCATCTACACATTAAGACAAAAAAGACAAAGGAAGCAACTTTTTAATCACAAAAGTGCTCTACTTTTGGAATTAGTATAAGTTTTACACAATGTTTTCCAAACGTGTCGAAATCACAAAAGATTATATTAACGGCATGAAATGAAATGCAAATACACCTTAAATTTACCGGTACTCTTACACCAGACGAAGAGGTGTGACTTGTTCTTGTAGCCCGTTGACCTGAAGATAGCCTCGAGGATCGAAAGATTGAGGCTGAGAAATCTCAAAACCCGAACTAGACGGCATCAAATTCATGTGCTGATGAGCACTCTCAGTTTCAGCTACCTAAAAATTATATAAGTTGCCAAAAAAGTCGAAATTCAACTCACATTGC